TATGGAAAAACTGCTCACTAAATAATATTATTTCAACAAAATTCTGTGATATTATGTCACATCCTACACTGTGCAATTGGACTTTTCTTTCAGCTTCTTACATTTCTTTCTAGAAAACATCCAGTATTACTCCATATTCATAAATCACTTGATAAGGAGTGCACCCAACCTCTGACACTCAACCACCAAGCCCAGCAGAGGAAAATTCCAGGCACACTTGGGTGTGGGGAGCTTGGGAGGACTAAGTTAGGCCAGTCAGTCCAGCAACGATACTAACCTCTGTAGCCACAAAAGTCTAAACTTCATTATAAATTACAGAAAATAATCTGGGGGTTTTCTCCTTTAATTTTTTCAGGATTATTTTCTTATGAATAGGGTCAAACTCTATTTTATTGCATTACCTTTAAAATGTCACCTGACACTGTAATTTCAATTCCCTTCAGCTCCTCTAGTTTTTACTTTTCTATTAAACTGAACTATACATGCAAATTTTCTATCTGCTTTTCTTTTTATGGAATTTCCGATAAACTACTATCTAAAAAAGAAACTTTTTGTAGCAATCAAACCTTGAATTCCTCTTGTATGGCACAACAGCAATTAAGGCATGCCTTTCGAAAAATACTGTACATCCTTTTTCTCCCCCCTTTTGCAGCTTGCATAAATCAGAGATTTAAGTCAGATCTGCAGGAGTTTTATTACAACCTACTTACATTGCAATGAAGTGAACTTAAATCTTTAAGAACAGATGTATTCTTTACAATTATTTTTTTGCAGGATCAAATTTTTTGTATATGAGTTGCATATTAGGGCAGAACTGTCAATTACAAGAAAAAAACCAATAAAATAATTTTCCGTTAAACAGAAATTGAGGTGCAACATATGGCCCCTGTGTGCATGAAGTGGCCATAAACTCATTACCTACTACATTGTTACATTATTATATTACTTGTGGTTTCTATGTCATTTTTAAAGAGAACTTTTCTGTTGAGTCCAAGTCTACACTGACAGAGATAGAATGTGCATAAACAAACACAGAAAAAAGGATATTATCACTGTACAAACTAGTCGTATCAGCACAACCATGTACCAGGGGAATTTACATCAGATAATTAAATCCACATTTTTGCACTGTATTACTTTAAAAAAGCTACTATCTAAGTGGTACATTTTTGGGTAGGTATGCCCTGAGACCCCCACTGACGGAAAGTGGAGGGAAAAAAAGCATGCACAGGTTTTTGTTTATTCAAGTAAAAGGCAATATTCAGGTTCAAAAAAACAGTAAAAGAGACACATCGAGGGAAGAACAGGGAAGAACAAGGAAATACAGAAACATAAGCAAAATTACAACCAAAACCAGTGTGGTGCATGCTCTGCTGCTATTGCCTGGCATACAGAGAACAGAATGAGTATTTTGCAGATGTACAAAATGTGCCTGAAAGACAAATGAAAATAAGCACACAGAATCCACAATACTTCCTCAGAGCAAGAAGAAACTCTCATGTTTAGACTGTCTCAATGATGGCAAGAAATTAATCACAAGAGAGTAGAACAAGGCAAGAGAGTTAACTTGACAGACAAAATTTCATATGGTACTTGTACCTCTTCTGATTATTCCACACTGGTGATTTGGAAACACTGTATCAGATTGTTTCCCCTACCCATATCCTCTCACACCTTTTCCATGCTCATAGCTTTGCCAGAGAGATTTCTCAGGAACTAATCTTACTGGGGACAACTTACTACAAATGAGTAGTTAGGGCAAAGGTTCAGAATGCTAAAATAAGACGTACATGGTGTCTGCCACTTGCTATTTCAGCTAAAAAAAAAAAAAAAAAGGATATGTTTACACTATTATTTATTAAGGTTCAAATAGGGGCTTGCTAATTGGCTGTCACAAAAAAACTTCTAGCACTTCTATTTACAATGTATTTCTTCTCTCAGGCTGTCAGACCAGCACTATCACAAGTCCAAATTTCACTTGAGAATGAAGAATATGGCCCTGATGAACTGCTTTTTAATATTTCCTGCTGAAATAGGGCAGTTGTTGCAAAGTCTTATAAAAGTTGCTTAAGTACCCAAAAGAGAAACAAAACTGTACAAAGCTGCTATTTCCTATCAAAATGGCACAGCCAGCTTGAAACTTTCATTCTTCTGTGATAATTCTGTGTTACTTTATTTAAATGTAGCATCCAAAATTATTGATTGAAACACGTGAAAAATACTATTCTCCATTTTCCATCCAGCTTATGCTTCCTTTTGCTGTTTCTTCACTTCTTTAGGAACTGCTAGATGGTTCCTTTTATAGAGGAGGAAAAAAACCAAAAAAAAACAACAACAAACAAATGGTTAAGCTACAGGAGAAATGCAAATAACTTAAAAAAATATTTACTCTGCAACATACTACTTCAGAGATGCTGTTTAAGAAATCTTAAGAAAAAATAACCTGCCTCTAAAAAAAATAAAAAGGTTTCCTCATAACTTATCAGACCTTTTTCAAATAACAAAGGTATGCAGCCTCTGCACTCAACACTCCTGTTCAACTCTCAAAAGTATTAGCAATTAACTCTTCCTGAAGTCTTTAACCCATCAGACTAATACTAATTATGTATTCCTCCTGCTCAAAGGACCAATAATTTAAAGCCACCCACTGACAGATTCAGGTCTTCTCAATATCTGAGGTAAAATGGATAAAATACTTTCTCCTTATCCTGCATGAAGGCCACTGACATGACGAACCAACTTTTGATGGGCATGATTTATCCTGGGACCTAAGACAGAGAAAGTCAGTACTCAGCTCTTGCAGTTTACCTGCCATTCTTAGGCAGAATCAAGCAAGAACTACATGGAAGTAGTACTTGATAAGCTCTGCTTACAGAGCTGGATAGATACCTATCAATATAACTCACACTGCCTCTTACAAAGCCCACCATATTCAAATGTGAAAGATGGCGTGCCATATTTCATAATCCAGATCACATTACTGTGACTTATACATTACTATGACTGGTATACTCTACAGTAATACTCTCAAATAGCAACCATTCTTCTCTTTGATGTGTAAATATGGCAGTATTTCACTAAGTAAACCACTTCTGCCAGGCACACAGCTCCTGTATTCCCACTACCTAATATGGTTAAATTACAAAAGCAGTAACAGTAACTGCTCCTGCTTTGGACCCAAAAATGATGAGCAGAGGGACATGCAAAACTGTACTCACTACTTTCACTTCTGCTTAAATCCAATTCACCTTAATTCTTTTAAAAACAAGCATCTAAATAAACTAATAAAAAAAGAAGTTCGGCAAAATGCTCAACAATAAATGTCCCGCTTTAAAAATGTTACATGTCCTGCTTAGTTACAAACACACAGGCCAGTGCCATAAGTTTGCTCACACAACTGAGTAGAGCCAATAGTATTAGAAATAGTTAAAAGTCAAAAAAGAATAGCCTTGTAGGGTGCCACCACATAAACTAAACACGATATACTGCCAAACACTCAAGTAGACACATGTACCATTATTCAGCAAGGACCACATGAATGCATATGGCTCTCTGTTTTGTCTTCATAGTAACAAGAAGGTTTGTAAACAGACCTCACATATGAGGCAATCTAGTCACTTGAGAATCTAAAAATCTGCCTTTATAAAGAAGCATTCTGCACTGTTGCCACACAATTGCACTTAGATACACAATTAAGAGTCCTCTACATTTGTGCTTTGGGGCAAGCGCTGCTCAATCCATAGCAGTGAGGTTTTAACCTGTCACCTCAGCCAGGATGTATGTAACTGCTATGCCCAATAGCCATTGGAAAATAATATCAACACGAGAGACTATAAAACATTAAAAATGTGGATTATTCAATCAAAAAAATTAATGACACACTTTCTTCGTATCATACCACTGCTGCCTTTGCACAGCTGAAAAACACAGTAATCTTAAATGCATTTACAGACGACAGTAGAAACTTCATAAAACTCACATGGAAAAACCCTCTCAGTCTATTCTACAATACTAATTTTTTTCAAAACATGAGACAAAGCAAAAAAAACAAATGAAGAAAGTTTCAGATAATCCATACCTGAAGTTTCAGAAGTATCTCCTGACTGGAAGGATATGGAAAGATTTAATATCTAACTGTAAACATATATTACCCCCAGGATACACTGCATCTATCTAAATATGTCCACATGGTGCAAACCTAAGAGGCAGAGACTCTCCTATCTTTAAAGAACAGATGCACTTTTTTAGCATGTCTGCATATCATTTTCACTATCAAAATATTGAGGATTCTGCACCACATCCTGATAACCTGAGGATCACATTCCTCTGGCAGTCAGTGGTAATCCACAGCAACAGAATTTAAAACTGGGCCCGCTGAATTTGTACCTCGTTAGACCAGTAGTTCTTTTAATTTAGTAATTACTATAATTACCCGGTGTCCCCAGAACTCCTAATGATGATGACCGAAGCTCCCTTGAGCTGGGAGCTGCATGAACACACGCCTGCACTCGCAGCTCCGGGGAGCAGAGAAGCACAGACCTACACAGCAATGCTTCTCTTTTGCCACCCTGACCATTTCATTTACTTCTTTTGTAATAATTCTTAGTATAAACTCATTGGAAGGAAAAAAAACTGTAACACCCTTGAATAAGTAAGCATAAAATGTTTTATGCTCCCTCTATTATTTAATAATGTACAAAACCAGAGAGGTTTTATATTAAAGTTGGCTTCATTTTAAAATGAGAGAAGGAAAAATATTTAGCTAAATATTTCTGCCGAAACTCATTAGTATTTCTATTGGTTTAATTTAAAAAGGTATTTAAGAATTACTGTCTAAAAAACCTCCAACTCTTTAATGTTTGAGTAGAAGTTTCATTTCTGCATCTACCACGTAAAAAAAAAAAAAAAAACAAACCAAAAACACCTGAAAAAAAAAAAGTTTGACCATTAGTGCCAACTAATAAGAAAAACAGAACCCTTTTCCGGGAAATTAAACTCTGATGAGTTTTATCGTTGTGCCGGGGCGAGCCTCGGCCGCCTGCCCACGGAGACAAGGCGTGCTGGCCAGCGGCCGGCCAGGACCCGCGGGGCCTCCCGCCGGCTTCCCCACCCGCGGGCCGGAGCTCCTCGGGGCACCCACCACCTGGAGCACAGACATCATTACGCTCCTTCCCCGCCGCTCCCTCACGCGGGGGAAGGCCGTGCCGCAAGCCAGCCCCCGACAGGAAGGTCGGAGCGGGCTACGGGGCATCACCCGGGATAACCCGGGGCTTTCCCCCCGCCCTCCCCCGCGCCGCTTGACCCCGACGGCGGGGACACGGCGGGGCCGCGGCGGGGTAGCCCTTCGCCCCTGCCCGCCTCCCGGCGCGGAGCCGGCGTGCGGCGGTGTATCCTATGCGATATCCTATGCGACAGGCGCGGACGTGCCGCTTACATAATCCCCGCCGGCCGCACACGTACCCCGCATTACATAAGGGATCGTGCCCCCGCCGGCCCCCGCGGCAGCCCCGCCGCCGGGCGGGGGGACAGAGGGAGGGAGGGACCCGGCGGTGGCCCCGGCCAAGCCCCTCGTTAACCCCCTTCCTGTGGCGTTTACACGTCATGGAACATTCCCGGAACGGGCCAACGTCCCACCCACTTCAGGGAACAGTCACCGCGGCGCAGCGCGCACACGCACTCACACACACGCACCCCCGGCGCGGTGCCGGGGCTCCCCACACACACGCACGCCCCCCGTGTCCGGCGCCCCCCGCGGGGACGCGCTGGCAGCCAGAGCCAGACCCCCTCCCTCCGCTCCCTCCGGCGCCCTGCCCGCCACCGCCGTGCCGGGTGGCCCCGGGCGGCCCCCCCCGCATGGAGCCCCCCCCGCCTCCCGCTCCCGGGGCGCCAGAGGCCGCGGAGAGAGCCCCGCCGGGGCGGCCCCCCCGCGGGCGCCTCTCCCCGGCGGTGACCATGCCCATTCCCCGCCGCAGGAGGGGATTACGCAAGGCAGCCTGCTCCTCATCTGCATACACTTACAAGCCGGGTATTCCCCACATTTCCTAACGGCGTGTCACCGACAAAGGCCTGTCCCCGCTGCGTCCCCCTCCTGCGCCGGCTCAGCGGGAAGGGCCGCCGGCCGTGGTGCCCCGGGGACGGTGCCGGTGCCTGCCAGCGCCCAGAGCCGCCACCACAGAGGTGACTTACCGGTCCGGCGGTTTTACAGACTCACCGGCTTCCCCCGCCGCCTTGCCCTCCATTTACCCCCGCGGCCCCGGGCGTCCAGGGCGGCGCTCAGAGCGCCGGCCACAGACCCCGCGGCTCAGCTAAGCGCACTCTCTGCCGCGGCCCGACCCCCAGCCCCGCGGCGCCCCGCACCCGAGACAGACAGCCGCCGGAGTGCCCCCCGCCGCCGGCAGCCGCCCCGCAACCACACCGGCTGTCAGCTGGTGCCGGTGACAGGGGACAACCGGCGGGCAGGGAGGAGGAGGTGCCCGCAGCAGCCGCTGCTGCTCACCTGGGAAGTCACCGAGGAGGAAGGAGGGAAGCCCTCCCGGTGCCCTTGTTGTTGTTGTTGTTGCTGCTGCTGCTGATCCCGCCGGGCACTCGTGTTGCTCCTTTGCTGAGGGCTCGCCCGGAGTGAGGCGGCTCGCGGTGCTTCTTTATATATAAAGACAGACAAGAAATATTCCAACGGCCAAGGGGCGCCCGCTTCACGCGTTTATCTTAAGGCAGGTCATTCCTCTCCCTCTTTTTGGAAAGGCTCATCACCATCTCTCTTGACAGTGGCGGAGGGGCTGGTGTTGCACGGGGAAGAGGCGGAGGCCCGGGAGCCGCAGCCCGCCCTGGCCGCGGCGGGAGGGAGCGCTCCGCGCTGCAGGCGGCTCCGCTGGGCTATTCCTGGCACCACTTCCCAGAACAGAAGTTACAGGGCGGCGAGCGCGGAGCGAGCGCGGGGAGCGCGCCTCCCGTGACGTCACCGGGTCCCCCCGCGCGCCGGCGGGGAGCGATCCCGGAGCGGGTGGTGGGCGCTGCCCGCCCCTGTGCCCGTGCCCGGGGCAGAGAGGGGCCGGGAGCACCGCGCGCCCGGGCAGGGCACGGAGGCAGGAGGCAGGGCCTCGGAGGGCGAAGCCGCGGCCTCCCCCCGCCGGCGGAGATCGCCGCTTCCCTCCCCCTCCCCCTCCCCGCCGAGGGAACTCCCAGGAGAGCCAGTCCCGGCTTGCCGTGCGCAAGCCGCGCGTCCTCCCGGCCTGAGAATTTCCTCCGAGGACGCGGGATCCTCCTGCCCCCTCCCCTCCCTCCGCTTCCTTTTGCTCCCTCCCCCGGCCCCTCCGCCCCTTCGCTCTCGCCTGGCCAGGATCACGTTATCTGTCAGGGAGAACAATACACCGCCGGGGCTCCCCGTGCCCGCCGCCGGCCCCGGCTGTACAGCTGAACCGGGGTCTCCCGCGGGCGGGGACCACTCCGACCCTCGCTCACCCCTTAGCACATGGCCCCGGAGCAGGGGGCGCGCAGCGGACGGGCCCGGCGGGGCTCGCAGCCGCCCCGGAGGGCAGGGAGCCCTCCCGCCGCCCCGGGCTGTGCCGCAGACACACGCATGTATTGCAACACGCGCTCGCCGCCGGCGCCGCGGCCGAGCCGAGCGGAGCCGAGCATAGGGAGCGCAGCGCCTTCCCCGGGAGTGACCGCGCCGCCGGGAAGGCGGGCGGGGGCGAAGGGCGGCCGCGGCCCCGCGCCGGGTAACGGGGCTCCCGCGTCCCCGCCGCCGCTCACGGGGCCGCTCACGGCCAATGGGGGCCGGGCCCGTACCGCCCGGCAGCGGCGGGCGGGGCTCGGCCGGGCCGGGGCCGGTGGCGCTCTCCCACAGCAGCCGCCAGCCCCAGAGCCTCCCCCCGCACCCCGGGACAGAGGCGCTGCAGGGGAAATGCCCTCCTGGCGGGCCGAGGCGAGGCGGTGCTCGCGCTTCCTGGGAGCATCCCACCGCCCTCCCGCGGTGGTCGGGAACCCACCACCGGTGGTCGGAGCTGTCGCTCAAGCAGGACCCGACTCAGGTCCCGCACCGACACACGCAATAGGTCCTGCCGCTGACACCAGCTTTGAGTTAGTTAAACGTGGGCGCGGTTACGGGGAACAGAGTTTGTATTCCTGAGATTTGCCACGGCTGCTCGGAGGGTGAAGCCCAACCGGCTGGTTCCCTCTCCCGGCCGCTCCGGCAGCGCAGGGGTCCCTTCCCTGGCCTCACCTGGTTTGGCTTTGCCATGGCACCGGCGCCCATTGGGTTTTTGATAGCAGATCTTCACTTAATTTTCAGAGCAAAATAATTTTCTTTTGAGGAAGCCGTACAGCCGCACTTGCAGGCTACCGTAAGTTGATTCGAAGGGATGCCAACTCGCAGCGCTGTCACTGTGACACTGGAAGTCGTACTGGCACCTGAGATTATTCCTTTTACTGACGTTAAGAAAAAAATCAGCCTCGTGAATGAAAAGAAATAAGTTTACACATAAATCCTGAAAGCACTGGATCTTATGACAGATGCCAGGGCAAATAAAATCATAATTTCATAATTATGAAGCTACAGCTTTTAGGGACTAAGAACAATTCAGTGCTCAGAGTTGGCAATACAGAGACATAGAATCTATTAATAAAAATCCTGTCATCCTACTGTGATCCTTGGTACCTTGCTGACTTTGGTGGCCTCTGAGTCAGGCTCACAGTGCTTCATTGTGCTCAGTCCAGGAGAGTCCTGCAGTCCTCAAGTGATAGGGGCATAAGTATCTCATCTGATCATAATTTTATGATAAATTATGACTTCTGCTACATAGAAGGCTTGCTCCTGCAAGAATGTGCAATACTAAGAGGACTGAACAAAGAGTTGCTTGCTCCTTTTTGAGTCTGTGAGCATGTCTGTGTTCCTGATTTCAGTATGATATGTGATACTGTCATTCCTGACACTGAGTATTGTTTGGCTGAAATTATTCTGTCTGAGCAAACATACTGACTTTGGGCTTGTGCTCTTTATTTGATGTCATGTCAGAATAAGTCAATGGGAGATGGGAGTGCTTAGGATTTGTTTTAAATTGAGGTTTTCCCATCCTGTTGCTTTCCACAACAGCTGCATTTACCTCTGCCCCAAAATGATGGCTGCCAGTATCTTCCCCTCTGGGAGGCTGCAGACTCCTGACCAGCACCTTTGACTTCTTGCTGCATTCCCAGCATTCTCAGCTTCTCTCCTCCCTCTTGCAAGACTTCAGAAGTTCATTCTTATTGTCACAGAGACCAGCCCACAGAAGGTACCACAACAAGGTTCAGTGTTCAAAATAAGTTTATTGATAGTCATTCTCAAAGCAAAGTAAAAAAATGTTTCTCCATAAGGCTTTTCAAAACAAGAATCTTTTTCCAATTATGTTGGTTATCTCAAGAAGTTATACTATGTGTCCTTTTCCACATTCTCTTAGTATTGCAGCATCTGAGACACAGCCATTTCCTTCATTGTGGCTCTACAAGGGATATGCCAGAGCTACAACTCTTCGGCACTTTGGTGTGTCCAAGGAAAAGAATGAAGCTACATGTGTGCTCAGAAACCCTGACTGTTCTACAAAATTGGTTTGACTCAAGCCCCAGAGCAAGTTTTGAAAAGCTGCACAACTTGCAGCTGCAAGGGTCCTTCGCTTGGAGTAGATGCTACCAGCCAAAGAGGCAGGAAAGTCTTTGCATGGTTCTGTCAGCCCACTCCCCCTTTGTGCACAGTTGTAGGGGAATGGGTGTAACTGAGTAAACTGACCTTCATCCCTGACCGCGCCTCTTTCCCCTCCCACAGGGAGCATGAGGCAGGAGCACTGTCCCTCAGAGGGACTGCAGCTGGGACGCCTGGGTAGTTTTCCTCCCAAACTCCTGCCAGTGACTCCACAGAGAAGCAGTAGACATCTGAATCACTTTCTCTCGCCTACTCGTGGCAACAACATAACTTAATAATGATATCCGTGCATCATACCATCCTACCATTTCCCTCTAGATTTATTTTTTTTTAACATTTACATCCAGCATTTAATAAAACTATCACTCTAACATATTAGGAAGAGAACTAAGGGAGTTCTCAGATGTGAGATTTACAGCTGTTATTTAAATACAGATTTTGCAGATCCATCAGAAAAAAAGTCATTCTTGCTGCTTGGAAAGCACCTCGGCCATCACAGCTGCTGCTCACAGCAAACACAGTACAGAATGATAATATTCAGCAATCATGTTCACAGATTATTAAGCACTATAAATTATTCTGAAAACTTGGTTTGATCTCAGAACATACAGAATCCATCGGTTTTGTAAACTCCCAAAGTAGATAATAGAAGGCATTACGTAATTTTTCTACAATAGAGCAGTTGAATTGAAATGTTAAATAACCATTCCTAAAATAACTATGAATTTTAAAGCAATTCATCCTTTCTTTCGTGGGAAAAAATTACTTTGTCCCGAAACCTGTACCCATAAGCTCTTTACTATTCTTCACAAACTTGTTACAGATAGAGCTGCAGCAAGAGACAATTCCTTTATATAAGGCATTGATACTATCTATTGATTTCAGTGAGAGCAGCATAAAGCAAAATGGACCAAATGTATCCAATTTTCTTAAAGTCTCAGAGGGTAGGAGCACATAACAAAATCAGTGGTGTTGTTTTGCTGTTTAGATCCTCTTTCTTAAGGTTTGAGTAAGTGAGAAAATCTATGGGAAACTGTTTGGGAATGGCTTTCTTCATAAATAAACAAATACTAATAGTTTGCTATCAATGTTGCTTAAAACGCATTGTGCTTATTTACATAGGAGCTCCTTCCCATGTTCCTTCTGTCACTTTTCCGATTGCCTGGACTGTAATGTCTCTCGCTGCCTTTGCCCTTTCTGCCCCCACCACTGCCTTTTCTAACTCCCTCATTACATCCAGTGCTCTTTGTGCTTACTGGTAAAACTGCAAGATACTCGGGGCTAGCTTTCCAATGCTGGAAGAGCACTGTCCTCCTCTTTGGAAGACCTGCTCTTTCTCCTCTCATCAGTGAGAGAATGGCCCTGAGCTGGGTGCTGGGTGATGAACGGCCAGCGAAGGTGAGGGTCCGGGCCATCAGCCCTTCCTCGGGGACTCATGGAGAGCCTGAGGGGGCAGACCCAGTGGCTCTGGGGCTGGGAAGGAGCGTGAGAAGGGAAACCAACATGGATCAAAATAGTTGGCTAGAGTCCTGAAAGGGCCGCATTTGTCTCCTGCTTTATTTTGGATGTCAAATGCATCACAAAATCCACTTGAAGAGCAGTATTAATTCAGGTAACTGATTTTATTTTGAGAGATACCTACCTTCTACTGACCATCTCAAGCTCTTCTTCTCAGAGATAACTAGCAGCTATGAGTTTCACATATCATTTAATCATTTGATACCATAAAACATATTTTCAGCCACAGCATTCCGCTTTCCCATTTGTACACATTGCTTTCATTTTGCTCAAGTGCCATCTTATCATATGAGAAAAAAGACATTGCCAGTTCACCCTCTCAACACCTCTTCCTATGTGTTCCTTGAATCCAGGCTGCTCTGTCTTGTTTGTCTACTCTCCTACGTAATCAAGGGTAATCTTTCCTCATAGGGGAGTGTGCCCGTGACTCCTCCGCACAACACAAAGGAGTCACAGTGAAGCACTTCTTTATCCACAACAGCTTCAAGCTCATACAATATCAAATGGTGTGAAGGAGTAAGGAGCCAAGGTGGTTAACTTGAGCAATCCTGCGTGTAAATAACTGGCAGAGGGCCCAAAGAAAGGGGAGTACTATTTGCCTGGTAATGAACAAATGGCTGTATTTCCTGAAGGAAAAATATTTTTCTACTATATTGAGCTTTCCTTCAAAAAAAAAAAAAAGAAAAAAAAAAAAAAAGAAGAAAGTGATTTTCTCCACATAAAGTATTTCCAGATGCAGAACTAACATGCTGTGTGCATCAA